AAAATGGATGGAGGGGGGGGGGAGTAGGCAAATACCAGAAATTAATATGTCAAAATTGGGAACTTAGAAAAGTGTTCACATTGAGAGGTGTTCATATAAGAAAGGCTCCGTTTATGAGAGATATTCAGGTTTTACTTGTTTCCTGGAAAAAATACTAAGTATGGAAAGCTTCTTAAAAATGTATTTTTGAGATTATTAATTTGTTCAATTAATATTGTTTTATTTTTAGAGAAGGATGTCGTCATAGAAGCTTTAATTCTGTCAAAGTAGATGTGATTTATTTCAAAAATGTCAACAAGAACTTAAGAATTTTAATCTCTTGTTGTGTATTAAATAATGTTATAGAATTAATCAAAAATAGAAAAATGTGAATATCGGTGGTTTCTCCTTTGGCAATTGAGTTTTCCATTGATAGGCTCATAGAGAAACTCTTCATACTCATTCTTTTGAAAAACATCAACTCGCAAAATGTCAAACTGCAAAAATAGGTCAATTACAAATATATAAGCTGATTCCTCTAAAATGATGCTTAACTGTGGCTGGGAGGATAAGGGACGAATGTAAGTTCATACAATGCCAGTCTTTTTTTCCAAAACTTATTAATCCTTTCACGACGATAGGCTCCATCTGGAGCCCTATTACGTCATGTCTTTCAGGATAGCACCACTATTTTATTTAAACATACATCAACGAAATGACAATATCAACAACTTGTCAAAATTTGGTATAAAAAGACTGAATATAGATCTGGAGCTGTCTTTTTACACCAAATTTTGACAAGTTGTTGACATGTGATAATACTTATTAAAAATTGTATTTTAGTGATTCAATTTTAAGTATAGGTCCTGAGGTATACATCACTTATCCAACACCAGGCCAATATTTTCCTCTTATTTTCAAGTCGGGAAAGGGTTAATGGACAAGCAATAAATGGACGGATGGATGGAAGGAAGGATGACAAGAGAGTACAGAGTAGTCTTGCTCAAAGACTGTATCCCCCCCGTCACCTTCACTCTCTTTACCTGGCAATATAGAGAGAATAGAGAAGGATGAAGGGGGGGGGGGAGTACAGGGTCTTTTAAGCAAGACTAAGTACAGAGCATCGATAAATTACATTCAGGTCATAACATTGATATTCACATAAATGTTACATTATTTTTATCTTAATTGTTCTTTAGAACATTAAAACTAAGCTTTGTTGAGCAACTCTAAAAGAAGTTTCAGATGACTAGATGCTCTTTAATAGACAAAAGTTCAAGGGGGAGAACATGTTTATTTGACACCCTGTGCATCAATGATACTTTAATGTTTTGCTTTGAAATTAACTTCCCATCCTATATCTATTCTGTCTAAAGGGCGTAATTAGTCTTTTCCGATCATGAATCAGATGTTGATTCATTGCTTTCAGCAATTTATATTTTGTCAAAGATATTGTACTTAAAAATCTTAATTTTCGTAAAAGTGTTATTAGCGACATATTACACTTATATCATTATTAAAGTACAAAAATTACAGGGTGATACAATAAAGTGACATCCACAAAATGTTGAATTTTTTTTGAGATATATCAGAATTTCCACTAATTTAAGCATTTTGGTGACTATTTAAGAGTTTCAAAGCCACAAATAATAAAGACAATATATTTTAGATCTAATAAAGTATCATGTCAACATACTTCAAAGAAATCTCTGAGTAACAGTGAATTCCTGTCAGGCAGCCATTTTGAATTTTCTGAGGCACAAATCAGGAAAACAATACGATAATTGTCATCTGCCCCATATTTCCTTCAATTTGAGTAAAATCTAGCCATACTTAGAAGAGATCAGAAAATTATTGCGAAATCCCACATAAGTTGGCCATTTTGAATTTTACGAGGCTCAAATCAGAAAAATGATACTATTTTTGCATTCTACTTTAAATTACCTTTCATTTAAGTACATCAAAGCTTACTTCAGAAAGATCTCAATATTGAAGCAAATTCACGTTGACACTGCCATTTTGAATTTTCTGAGGCACAAATCAGAAAAACAATATTTGTGGTCTACCCTAAATTTCTTTCAATTTGAGTATAAAATAGCCATAGTTAGAAAAGATCAGAAAATTATTGCGAAATCCCAACATCAGACGGCCATTTTGAATTTTACAAGTCCCAAACTAGTAAAACAATAAAACATCTACAATTTACTCTAAATTGGCTTTAATTTGAGAATAATAAAGCTATTCTTTACAAAGATCTCAAAATTAACCACCCCCCATCACTGCCCTTGGGGGTCATGGTGAAAAACATGGAATGGACTAACCAACGGACGGATGGACAGACAGACGGACGGACGGGGGCTTCACTATATTCCTACCAAACTTAGTTCATTGGGATAATGAAAAGCTTTGGAGAGGAAACATTTTCCTTTCTCTTCAGCTAAGTTGAGCTACTGTAACACGTGACCCAATGGCAGGCCAACCTTTAACAATGTACTTTATAATGTTAGCCAATACATCATTTCATTATAACAGACTTCTCAACAACTAGAAACTGTAATTAGTTGACAATTTTCATGATATATCAGCTTTTTATAAATAACATCGGAACCTAGTTACCAGTCAAATGAATTATTTTTACTAAATCCATTATCCTAATAAAATGTTTGCATTTCTCAACAATATCAAATTTAAAAAGAATAATGAGATAATTTTGTTGTACTGTACACCCAGGAATTTTTTGCATGTTTTTATATAACCCGCTTTTGCGAGATTTGGAAAATTCGCAAAATATAATAGCTGTGAAATTTGAATGGTTCAAAGGAGTGGTATCGATATGGAGAGCTTTTTGAACACATGTTTCTCTTAAACCAGTCATATAAAAATCTAAAAATTTAACACATCGTCAATTTAATGGTTATTTTTTGAATGGTAACAATATAATTAGAAAAATATATATATACTTTCATCTATATTGTTTTACAAAACACATCAAAGGCTTGTTTTGTTCTTGTTATCACGTTTCCAGAGTGAAATGAAACATCTTTCCGAACCTCATTGGAACAAAAAGACATAAACACAACATGTTTAGGTCTCTCAATATTGTAATTTGGTTGATTTTAAAAAAGTATCTTGATTTTTATCTATTTTGGGTGGATTTTTTAAAATATTTTGAACACTTTTTTTAAGATCAACCAAAAATTTATTTGAATTACTATAATAATGAGAGGTCTCAAAACATGTTGTATATGCTATTTTGTTCCAACTAGGTTCAGAAAGACATTTTATTTCATTCTCAAGAATTGGTAGAAAGGAGCAAAAACAATTGCACTAAAAAAACAGAAAATGTTAACAAAAACAGTTATATAAAATATTTCTAAATAATTTTCGCATTAAATTGTTGTCAATCAGTCAACATTACATACAATACCGTGTTTTTTACAGAATGTTCTCAATGATTAGTTTAAGAGAAAAACATTGTTGAATTCAGTTCTCCATATCGATATCACTCCTTTACCAAATTTTAGAATTTTGAAAAAGTTTGAAACGACAAAACTACTTAGACAGAAGACTAATTAACTGAAGGTCACATAACCTACTTTGTAAAAATAATGATTAGGTTTTTATTAAACATCAACTTCAATCTCTAAACCTTCATCAATGGTAATAATATCAGACTCATAAAGTTACAATGTTGAATTAGGTCAGACCAACTGCTGAGTCAAAACCAATTATGAATAACAAATGAAATTTAAAACGTTGTCATCAAAAACTAATCATACGTGATAGAAATTGAGACAAAAGTACTTAGCGATAAAACTATCATATGGCAAATTATGAAACTAAGAGGAGATCAAATAGCACATTTTAATCATAGACGACAATGAGTTAATTTACTGATTAACATGTGTTATTTCAAAGAATGGAGCCATGTTTGATTAAATCGATTTATCAAAATGCTTGCATATAACGCAGTCAGGCGTAACACCTGGATTTATTTCATAACACCAACATGCACCTCAATGTATTTCATTACACTAAAATGCACCTCAATGTATTCCATTACACTAAAATGCACCTCAATGTATTTCATTACTCTAAAATGCACCTCAATGTATTTCATAACAATAAAATACACCTCAATGCATTTCATAACACAAAAATGCACCTCAATGTGTTTCATTACACTAACATGCACCTCAGTATATTTCATAAAACCAAAATGCACCTGAATACATTTCATTAATACCAAAATGCACCTCAATGTACATGTATTTCATAACACTAAAATGCACCTCAATGTGTTTCATAACACTAAAATGCACCTCAATGTATTTCATTACACTAAAATGCACCTCAATGCATTTCATAAAACCAAAATGCACATCAATGTATTTCATAACACCAAAATGCACTTCAATGTATTTCATAACACTAAAATGCACCTCAATATATTTCATTAATACCAAAATGCACCTCAATGTTCATGTATTTCATAACACTTAAATGCAGGTCAATGTATTTCATAACCAAAAAAATACACCTCATTGTATCACAATTTTATTCTGTTCTTTGGCAATGGCCAGAATAAAATTTGAGGTCATATATTTGACATTAATCATAAAATCGAGGTCTTTGTTACGATTGTAATATGATAAACAAACAAGAAACACAACTTTTTGCATTTATGATTTTTAGCGGCAATTCATACTCCAATATAGAACTGTTAATCAATTGTAGCTATTGTGATGTCACGCATCATATTAGAATTGACAATATTATGTAAACTTCACACTTATGATTATAAAAACACAGCAGATCAAGACATGTGCTAAACTAAAAACATGTTGAATATATTTAACCCTTCCATGCCCAGAATTATTTAAGGGATAATAGATGTTTTGTTAAAATATGCACTTTTAACATCAATACATCATAAAAGATGCATTTTGACTCAGAAGTATTGCATTAAATGGAAATAAATTCATTTTTTAAAATTACAGCAAAAATATATCAAAGCTTATATCAGTTATTAAGTAAACTATGACAATCACATTATAATCACACAAATGGGCAGGAAGGGGTTAACATAAAGTAAAAACATGCACACATGTTTTAGAAAAACTAAATTTACATGCAGACACTGTTTTGAATGTCAAAACATGCGTCTACACATGTTAAATAAAAACAAATGAATTCACATGGACTTAATTAAAACACATCCCGGACAAAGATTAAAATGAAAAAAAGTGCAGCATACAGGCCACAGAAAGAGAAACATGTCTGTGTAATTGCACAATTCAAAACACACATAAGTGCAGGGAATTGAAAACATATTCAACTAGTGGATTATACACACGTATTTGAAAAATTTAAAACACATGCATCATATGGGCAAAGGAAAAACAAGCAGCACTCGGGCTTACCCCGTTAGCAACTGCGGGTCCTCGTTTAAATCCACTCAACACAGTGTAACCAGCCCGATCAGCCAATCCACGACATCCATTTTCAACAATCAGAATCTTCGGATGGGCAGATTCAACAGACGGAACCATCTGATCATTTTTATATTTCTTCTTTGCACACTTATGTTGTGCGATTTTCTTCCGATTTGAGCCATGACTGAGCAAATTTAGTTTATGACGATCGGCTTTGGAGATAAGTGGTGATGAAGGTTCTTCAAGTTCAGGTGGCTTTCTCTCACGTTTCTTTAATCGAGCATGTATATTTTGAGTTTTTTGTTTTTTGTCTATCATATATTTAATGTCATAATCAGTAGAGTTATTTATTACACCGTTGTGCTTGGCATCTAATAATTTGAGCCGTAGCAGTTTTTCATCTAGAGCCAAATTTGACTTATCTGCCATCTTTATTCCTGTGTCAAACCTTTGATGAGTTTCTTCAGTTATATCTTCAGCTAGACAAGGGCTGACATCTTTTGGCCATTCTGCAGTTGAATTAGATATTCTAGACATTGAACTATCTGCTTCTTCCAAGACATCAGTTTGTAATGTTACCTTGGAGATCTCCGCAATAACCGTGTTGTCCTTAGATACGACACTGCAATTGTCGGCCATGTTGTTTTTATTATTATGGGATGTAACACTGATTCTATCTTTATACACAGACAATGCTCTGTTGTTGTTATTATTATCAAATGACTCATTGAGGGGCAAAACAGAGTTACCAAAATTAGGGAAGGGATCCGTTTTAGGGACTTTCATGTTGGTTCCTTGGCACACAAGAGATTGGAGCACACTATTATTTGATTGGCTGATTGCTTGGCTACACTGTGATATTCCGTCCGTCTGCTCAGTAGTTTCTAATTGTTCCTATAGGGGGCAGAATAAGCAAAAAATAATAAAAACCTACAGCTACAAAACATAGCAAATGTATTAATAATCAATAAAAATAAAAATGCAAGAGACCCAAAATATTTTGACAAAATATTTTGTTGGTATTACATCACAAAAAGGATTAAAAGATTCATACTTCAATATTAACAGCTTTCTGCTTGTAAACTCATATAACATATCATTTCAGGATTATAGTACAGTAAAACCTGTAAAGTGGAGTATCTCGACAAATGAGATGCCTCTTAATGGAAGACTTTTCAGAGGTTAAATGAACCTCTATTATCGGAACAACTCCCAAGTAGAACACCTCCAAAGTGGAACATTTACAGAGGTCCTAAAGGTGTTCCACTTAGACAGGTTTTGCTTTATTAACGTATAACTTACAATTGATCTAGCCCAAAGACATATTAATCTCTCAAAGCCTAATATTCCTAATTCACCATTCCATGCTATTCTTAAAATTTCAAGGAGACCCAAACAATAGTATCTTTAACGACAAAGGATTTTATGTGCATTCAATTTCAATATAAACCCTGCTATAACAATAAAGGTATAGGAATTTATTAATTTCGTCAACATATCATGTATGTGTTAATACAACCTTTTCAAACTATGTACCTATATCAAATATAAGTTTAAAAATAGAAAAATAAACAATCGGAATAGTAATAAATAAACAAATGAAATCAAATACAAAATAGGATTGTAAGTTCACGAAGTTTACGCTTAAGCAATGAACATCAAGAGAATTCTTATCAATAAAATACAACAGTTTATTCAACAACAAAAATAAAAAAGACATGAAAATGTTTATGTTGCAAATAAAACGACGCTAACCAGTTCTCATGATACTGTAAGCTTGCTCGTAGGTATCATGGCTAAGGTACAGGGCTTCGTGTATTTATTTTAAATTTTGTAGCAGAATTTTGAAAAATTTTTGACCCAAGGCTCAAAACAAAAAAGATAATACTCAGAAATGCCAGTTGTTATTTAAATTGCCTTATTTATGAGGGGAATAGCAAATCCATGTTTTGGCGAGCTTGGCAGTATGGACAGCTCCACATAAATTGCTCAATTGCTCATGGTATGTTGGAGTCTGGTTAGTGCCCATGGAATATTTAAGTAGTTAATACTTTACCTGTCTCCCATTTGATGTGACAGATGATGTCATCTCATGAGTACCTAAATCTGTAATGAAACTTGATGGTAGTCCATTTCGGTCATCTCTGAAAATAAAATGATAAAAAATAATAACAAAATAGGGTGATAAAGTCAAATGAAAAAGGCATCCCTGCCTTAAACATATTATAGTGTCAAAGGCAAAAGGATTGGGGTATTTATTCAACGATGCCCAAACAGAATATTTTTTATCTTTTATTGATTCTCTGATGTCATAACAATGCATAATACAGGGTGATCATTAAGTTCTGGGAATTGGTCTGCCATTTCAAGATTTCTCAACCATTTGAGTTGAAATTTTCAGCAGGTGTTCATTGTATAATTCTGAATTGACAGGCAATGTTTCATATACATATCACATCTACAATTTATTTTATTGTAATTATAAAAAAAGTAAAAGTGGTTTGCGGGTCAGCAAATTTTGACTGATGTTAATTTGAAAATTTCCTGCCAAAACATATTCATCTTGCTTAGATAGTTGCTTCAAACTACCTGCACTAGAGGCAGAACAGTACTCTTGAAGTCATTTATTCAGAAGTATTCTTCATTGCTGAGAGGATCATTTCATTTATGATTGTTTCCATTAGCCTTGGACGCACATGCGTTGTTGACAAACTTAGTCCATAAAGATGTGTTCCAGTCCTCCCTTTGGTATCCCTTGAAGATTTGCTCAAGCCGTTGAAATCAGTCCCTTATTGGAATCAAACTTATGACCTCTCATATAATGCTTTAGCACCCAAAATGTAGTGAAGCCTAATGGTGCTTTATCCAGTGAATATTGTCTGGTGAATATGGGGCAGTAATAACTTGTGTGAACCCTAATTCTTCAAGAGTAGTATGGGCAGCTTTAGTAATCGGAAGGAGCATAGTCATAATGGAAGATAACTCCCCGCTATTTTTAGTCATGATTGTTACTTTGAGATGCTGATGAATGATGAATGATACAAAAATAGAGCAAAGTACACTCTTATATAACAATAAAGATGTTACTTTAGAAACTTAAGTTAGAAGTATTTAAAATATAAAAAATCACAGAAATATGTCCACCAAATAGATATTTATTAACCATACTTTTGGGTCAAGCAAAATTTGAATTCATTTTTATTTTACTTGACCCGCTGCGCCACTTGTCATGTTGCTATAGTAACAACAATTATCTATTGTGACATCAGATGACAATGAGACTGTTTTATCCAACCCAAAATTACATTCCCCATTTACCTTGAAAATTTCAAGTAAATTGGTTAAAAAATAATGAAATGACAGATGAATTCCCAGAACTTAGTGATCACCCTGTAGTTACAGTACACAAAAAATTCTTAACTAGAAAAGCATATATTACTGAAAATCCTCAAAGTTGCTGATTCAATAGTGATGTTGATCGTGTTACAAAAATGGTGTTAATAGTGTCAAAACCTCTGAACAATAATTCTAAATTAAATATGTATCAATTCAGAAAAATATCAATGATTTGACCTCAATTTATCCAGTTATCGTGATGAATGTTAATGGAATGTACAAAAGTGCAAAAATTCTATCAAATACATTGTTGCTAGATCTGCATACTTCAGACTGTATGAGCTAGTTACCTTTGAGGAAGGTCCTTAAATGGGAATGAATGAATACATAAATGAATTAATACCATTTTCTCAGTTATTTCTTCAAGAATGTCCCGATTAAATTTTCTTGTGCAAACTTATCAATGAAGGCACTCCAGGCATTTTATCCAATGCTTCATTCTACAGTGAAACCTGTATGTCTGAATGTAGGAGGGGGGGGGGACTCACAAAGTTTTGTAGTTTGTAACACTTATTTCTATATTCATATTCTTATAAATCTTTCAACATTTGAATATGGTCTCTATCTGCATCGTGCTGTCCCTTTAATTCAAGCAATTTGGTCACTCGTTCCTTCCAGGTCTCTCAACATGCAAATCATTAAATTGACATCAATATTGACATCAATGTCATATGACTCCTGATAAAATAAGATCAATTAATATGTAGAATATAAGTACACTTTGTTACAGAAATTGATTTCAACTTAGATTCTGTTTACTTTCTGCTTGTGATGGTATAATCAATAGTATAACTACTACGGTGAAACCTGTATATCTGAACACCTCTCTAATCTGAACACCTCTAAATGTGAACACCTTTTAATTCCGCTTTTAAATTACTTTAGGTATGTATATTGAAACACCTTGAAATGTGAACACCTTCCAATCTGAGCACTATTTGCCAGTCCCAGTGGCGTTTAGATGAGACTGGTTTTGCTGTACAGTATTTAACAGACGATACTTTGGATGGAACCAAAACTAAACAGCCAGAATTGGATAAGGCATTGTTACAATACCAGAACAAATATCTAAACATTGATTATTACCTGGTAGCTAAATGTTTACACAAAATTCTATGTAATGCTACAAACCATTACATTACTAGTGTATCTTTCCTTTCCTGCTAATAGAAATTTACTAATTATTGCAATTAACCTATGAGGGGTTCGGTGAAAACCTAGATTCCATACTGTGTCACTTATATATTGATTTTACTGATTAAAAATCAATTTAGTAAATTATAGAACATTGTCTCAACTGCTAAAATATATTTCTTCTTAACTTCTACAATGACTGGAAGTTTATAAAGAGAGGTGTTCATATTATAGAGGTGTTCAGATAAACATATTCCCCTGTACTCATAATGCCAAGCTGGAAACTAGTTACAAATGAGAGTATAATTGCCAAGGGGTTGTTTAATTGCCAGGGGGTTGTATAATTGCCAGGGGGTTGTTTAATTGCCAGGGGGTTGTTTAATTGCCAGGGGGTTGTTTAATTGGCAAGGGGTTGTATAATTGCTAATAGGTTGTATAATTGATAGGGAGTTGTACCAGTATAATTGCCAGGGGGTTGTATAAACTGCAAACAGGCACTTTTTCCAGTTATTTAACTCTGTTGTTGTATGGAATTTTGCAACTGCCTTCATGCTAAAATAATAATTTCCAATAATTTTTCCAGTTGCTTTGACGGGTAAATAACTCTAATGTTACCAGTGAAATGCCCCAGGCTTTATAACAAGAAGCAAAGGGTTCACATCTTTAGAAAAAATAACCATTGATGTTTGAAGTGTTTCAATTATAAAACCAGAAATGCTAATCAAAGCCTAATAGTAGAAACCAATGAAATTCTAAACCACTCTATATTCCTTTCATTGTACTTTATTTGTAAATGAGCTCAATTTATAAATTGGAAGCACAGTAAAACATGTCTCAGTGGTCTCCACTGAATTTTTTCTCAAGTAGGTGAAAAATTCTCATTTTCACAATTTAAACCAAAATTGGTCAAAATATCCCAATTTTTAGAATTTTTCTCATTTTCAAGTGGGTGCAAATGGATTTTCAGGTGGGTGCAAGCATGTTTTCAAAATCTCAGGTGGGTGCTGTGCCCACTTGCTTTAATGCTGGGGAGATCACTGTGTCTAATATGAACATCACTGAGACAGGCCCAAAGGCCAAAAGTGTTCAGATTACCATGTGTTCATACTTCAAGTGTTTTTAAAATGTGAGTCAATAGGAGACAATTTTGTGACTGCAGTGATCTTCCCAGCATTAAAGCAAGTGGGTGCAACACCCACCTGAGATTTTGAAAATAGGCTAGCACCCACCTGAAAATCAATTTGCACCCACTTGAAATAAGATAAATAAATCATGAAAAATTGGCATATCTTGACCAATTTTGGTCTGATTTGTGAAAATGAGAATTTTGCACCCACCTGAGAAAAAATCCTGGGGAGATCACTGGACTGTGTTCACATGGACAGATGTTCAGATAAGAGAGTTGTTGGACTGTTGGGACATACAGGTTACACTGTACATGCCTTGGTCTCCCCTGAACTACTTGAATTAAACTAACCATTTTAATATTAATAATAACTAGGCCTACAATAATATTTTGGAAATCAGGCTATATTCAACTTTGACTTAAATGCATTCTATAACTTGGATGTATTAGTATAACAAAAGTCTTCTTTGAAGAATCTCAAAATGTTCTAAGACACAAATTCCAAGGAAAAAATAGCAAGTGCTTTATCTTGGGGATTTCTACAAATTTTTGAGATTTTAGTTCTATCTTGTAGATTCTTTCCAAAACTTTAACATGATCAGAATATTGAGAATAATAAGCCCCTGTCAGCTCCTTTGAAGAGTCATAAGTAGACCATGGCAGTATATCTATTTGTGGAACTCAGAGATTAGTTAGTTTTACTATTCGGGTTTGTGACTCAGGGCAGCTACTGAGAAATGGTCAGTGAAAAGTCATTTAGTTATAGATTGATCTAACTGTAATTCATTATATTCCAGTATTAGAATTCATAGAAATATTTCTGCAAATATTTTCTTTGCAGATGATCTGTTATACACACACAGAATTGGCATTTTTAAGGGTATTATTTGTGGAAAGTGCAATTTAAAACCAGTACAAAATATAATGAGCTTAACCCTAAATCTTAAGTGCTATATTTTACAAGTTGTAAACCTACAGTGTTCAGTGCTACTGGCTGTTAATATAACATGCATTTTGTTTTATATATAAAAAGGGCTTTTCTTAAAAAATTGTAACCAGTTTGATTTTTTTTGTATCCATGACAAAAGGTATGAGTTGGATACAATACGATTAACAGTACTTGGTTTTTAAAAAAGATCAACTTTCAGTAATTTCTATTTAGTATTTATATTGTTATATTTAGAATAGAAGTAACTGAACACCAAAATTCAACATAGATTTAAAATACTTTTGACATAAGGCTGGAAACAAAATAAAACCAATTATGAATTGGTCAGAACATTATACAAATCCAATTGAAAATGTCTAAAGTTTCAAGCCTTTCTATAACACTAGAGTCAAGTATTCTGGATTTAGTTTATTATCTAGTAAAGTTTATTGTTAACTTAAATTAGTCAGTGGAGATAATTCAAATTGTTGTATGAAGTTTGTATGAAGTTGACAATACATAATCCTAATACAATAACATCCTGCGTACAGTATTTAATCCCATAGTACCAGATTGGCCATATTCAATGCATTTTTCATTGCTGATCTGTGAATTTAGTTCTAAATGCATGAATAGAATTTGAAATATGAAGAGGGGAGGGGGTATATAAACATAAACATTTAAAGTGCTTTTTAATTCTCTAAAATCCCAGTATAATATCTTTCAAACAGGGCTAATGTTTGAGCCTTTGATTGAGAATGATAGAACCAATGATAACTCCTAGATGTTATGTGTTTCAAATTGAACACAAATTATGATAATATTTCCAAATAAATACATTCCAGAACAAGTAAATGCCTGTATTGGTAAATACTAGAAATAATTTCATAATAAACGTTTATTTGATCTTTAAACTAATAAACTTCTAGACTGAACAATCATTATTTAACAACATTTATCAGAAACTACACATTATAAGTAAATATGAACTCTTATGGCAAACAGAGCAAATGACAGTGATACTTTGATACATTATATGATAAAATACTACCACAGCAGCCCCCCCCCCCCTTCCCCCCCCCCCCCCGTCATTAAGCATAGATCATTAATGTATTTGATACAACTTTATGGGGTTTCCATAAGTTCTTAGAAAGCTCAAGCTTAAATATATGGGAGGCGTTAATCATTGAATACCCCCCCCCCCATTTAGTATGCAGTAACCAACCTTTAATTCAACTAAGACAAATGAATAACTATATGGATAATAAATTATATGAGCACATCTAATTTGGGTTGGTCAATTTAAATTTTTTGCTGAAATATAAGGAAATGTAAAAGATGATGATGCTTACTTGGCCCCCTTCTTACTCCATGTATCCCCAAATTTGTTTAGAGAGGAGGAGGGGTGGGGATTATAAGGGTAGACTAAGGAAAACTCATTGTAATGAGAAACATTTGATAGAATCCCCCTTTTGAGCATCTCGGAGTACTACATCTAAATATTACAGGAAAAACCTTTGTATAGTGAACAGCTCAAAAAATGTGTTCATTGTAGGTAGGTGTTCACTACAAAAATGGTATTTTATACAGATAAGATAAGATAGTAATATTTTATACAAGTGTCATGTGTGGAGGAAGGGTGTTTACTAGAGACAGGTGTTCACGAGAGGGTTGTTCATAAAGACAGGTTTTACTGTATTTCCTTATTCACAAAACTTACAGATTATACATTCCCTGTGGTGTTACGTGCATTGACTTAGTAGATATTGCGGACCCTATAGTTGGGGAACTTATACTTGAGGTATTGCTGCGTCCTTTGGTAGGGGTCAAGTTGACCGTCCCACTGGCCCTTGCAGAAATTGTATCTCTGGCAGAGGGAACCCTTGCAGATTTCCTCTCGCCATCTTCAATGCTGTATATATCAACTGTTGACTCCGGTGATGACGGCCAGTTTGGGACACGAGGATCAAGTTTATATTTATATGCTAAAGTTGCTACAACTTTAATATCTGTAGAATTATTTTGCAATTGCGTTAAAGAATCCTCTTTTTGTCGGCTACTCTGTCTCGATTTAAGAATCTGTTTCTTTTGTTTCCCAGATTTTGTTCTGTTACTTTGGTTCTGAGTACTTGAATTTTCTAATCGATATTGCAACATGTATTGGCTCACATCTGTATAATGTTTAAAGTTATATTGTTTTGGTTTTAGTGAATTCGGAAGTAATCCATCGCGGTCTCTATGAGAGAAATGAACTTTGACTTCTAAATTGTCTTTTGTATCTTTCTCAGGTTTTCTCGGTGTAAATCCTTTTTTGGGTATCCATTCGCAGAGTTCAAAATCATAATCCAACTTTTTGGAAACTTTTACTGCACTTTGAATTTCCACTTCAAGTTTTTCATTCTCAGTAAAATCTAAAATCTTAGTTTGAATTTGCTTATCCAGAAAGAAGTTAAATTCATGATTACTTTCTTCATTCTGTGAACTCATTTTATTTCATAATTATCACATTATTCTATAAATCTTTATACATTGCAATTTTAAAATTCCTGCCTTTCCGAACTCCACCTGTCTTGGCAACTAGTGAAGTCTGTTTATTATTGGCTCTTTCGTTTTGTCAATATTCTCCCTCCGCATTTGATTATTCAGCGTTCAATACAATGCCAATTATACGATTTTGAAGGGAGTAAAATAACTGAATGGAATAATTCAATCACGACATATTTTACAAATTTATATTTCAAATAACACAGGGAAAATTTATATTATTGGCATTATCAAATCAAAATGTATAAATTTACTATCATGTACGGTTCATATGTATAAATGTTTTCTAATTTGTAAAAATGAAGATCGATGTTGTCGTGAAATAATTGCTACCATCAGTCAGTCGTTTGACAAATTCCCAAAATTTAAAAAAATTTGAAAGTATTTTTTAATTTACAAGGATAATTGGGTAGATATGAGATGAATAACACATCACAGTTGTGAACAGAGTGAGTAAGTTTAATTTAATCAGACACTCATGTGTGAATCGTTTACACATCTCTATAAATTATCATAGCAACCATTTTTTCAGAAATTACGATAAATTCATGCTTTTCTTTTTGCACAGAATAGAACCAAACGTCTTTGGATTGGTACCATGCGCGCGGAGACAAGTTATAGACTACCTTCTGCCTAGTATTAGACGTGGGAGCACTGCCTCAAGTGATTTTTTGACTATAGGAGTGTTAATAGGGTGGTGACTAGTCTATTTCCAATAGATCCTTGGCCGAATATCCTGAGAATTCGGTCTGAATATTTTCAACCAAATTTCAAAGAATATCAGACTAGAGGATATAGTCTAGGGTCGTGACAAATATCAGATCCTTGGGTCTCAGATATTCAGTATAAATAAAGCCCTAGTATGTATCTAACAGACCGAATATAATATTCGGTCTGTTATGATTGATACCCTTCGCATGCAAATTGCGGCAATATTTTGTGCACATAAATTTCTCGTTTATTACAAGAATGTTCACCTTGTAAATTGGTGAATACAGTATGTCGAAGAGATGTTCATCTTAACTAGAAGCATAAATATTTGTATAAGGCGGGTACAAGTGGATATAAAATTATGAAATGTTCAGATTCACCAAAACTTCAGGATGTGTTCATTTATAAGTAGATCGCGAAATCAATGTCAAGGACGTTTGAGTTCACAAGATCCAAACGAGATACTGTATGCAAATTTTGGAACTTTGACTAATTTCAAACCAATGACCACTTGATTACCTCGGCCTTCTTCGTGAATATTCCTGCTCTTTTTACTATAATTGACGAAAATCAATCAATGACTAGATCTAATAAATTCCCGCACAAATGGAATTTATCAATACGCTTCTGTAATGTTGCGCCGTCTGCTCCACATGTTATTTGTTTAAAAATAGACTGACGTCACTGGTTCAATCTCGTTAATTGAGAATTAGAATTGCCAAAATGGCTTGACTTAATCAATGCCTTAGAAGAAGCGTCTGTATATTTTATAAACATCTTCAGTAAGAAGACAATATACGAAAAAATAATATTGTTAGTTCTTTATAAGGTAATCATTTTATCATTATACATGTACAAACTTATTTGTAACATTTATACAACACCCCATTTTACAATAGGTGACTTACAGTCTGAATTTATTCAGACGAAGGATAGTCTAAATAAAGCCCCAGAGGTGCATTAATGTACCTCGCCTAGTATAGACTATATTACAGTTAGCAGCCTTGCCCCTACGACCAATGCCTATGACGACGCAGGTGATAAATCATTTCAAACCTATCATTATATATGCTCTACATGGGCTTATTTATTAGCCTTTTGCCGAATATATTCAGAAAACTCAAAATATTCATGTATCATAATTCATTGTTTCAGGAATTAGAAAAGTGAGATGGATGACGTAGGGGCATCTGAGAGGCCTCGGCCACAACCACGTCCAAGAAAATCATCAGAATTGCTTCAGCCTATACCTGCAGTAGATTCACCCGAAACACAAGACCAAGGCCCTCCTGTTATGAAGGACACTCACGATCCATCTATTACAGACAATGATCCTCCGTTGGATTCTCCAAAAAGTTTTAAAAAAGGAAAAGGCAAGAAGAAATCAAGCTTAGCTAGGCTTGCTGCCAAGAAGAAATTGTCGGGATCTGATTGTGATAGTGATATGGGATCGAAAGGTTCATTAAAGTCACCAAGGTTGACTGAAGCCAAAACAACAGACCATGTTGTTTCACACAAGAACAATGGAGTCCAATCAGAGGATATGGCAGCTGAAAGTAATGACACTACCTTTGGTCAAGGATCAACAAACATTAGTTTTGATCCATTAAATGTACACGCAACCCCAAGAAACACTTCAAAATTAGCTTCTGATTTCAATAAATCAAATTTTGATAAGTCGCCAAGGATTAATGAAGACACTTTAGATGACATTGTTAGGGGTGAATCAACACCCAGTGCTCCAAGGACTCAGATGAAAGCTACAATTGAAGATGATGATGATGATGGTATTGAAATGGATGATGATAATACTGATAAGATAGATGATACTCATAAAGTTGCAATCAATACTTCGCCACCATTACGCCCTAGGATACACGCAAGAGCACCATCAGAAGGTACTATAAGTAGATTGGAATCTTTAAACGTGTCCAAAGATACCAACGAGCCAGAATTGCCAAAGAAAGGACATTTCATGCCACACCCACCGAAAGGTGAAAAACGTTTTCGCGATGGAGGTAATTCATCAGATGATGAAAGCACATCAAGGTTACGATTTAGGAAACATAAAATCAAAGATAAACCGTCTAATCTTGTTGAAAATACAGCAGGTAAAACTATTGATGACTTAATGGAGGTTGATTCAAAGATAATTCCACTTCGATCGAAATTCACATTGGAAAATCCAGAATCAAATGAAAAATTAAAAGAAAATGAAACAACTATAGAAAATGTGATGGATTTAGATGTAAATGGTCAATCTACACCAGGTAGGTCAAAATTCTTGAAACCAATCAACAAAGTAGGTCCTTTAAGTCAAGACAACAAAGAAGCAAATGAAGAAACAAGGAAAACTCCTATGGATGTTGATATCGTGATTGAAAAGCCAAAGTTTGACTTGGCTGCTTCAGAAAGTGACGATGAAACTGATGAAGATATTAATGAATCTGATATCGAGGCTGCTGCTCAAATACAGAATCAGTATGAAGCAATAGTTGCATCAAATGCTACATCTACGCCAAAGAATCCTCGGAAACAATTAGATAATTCTGATCTTAATGAAAGACCAAATAAACTCTCGCCAATTAAAACACGTCCTACACCCCCACCGTTAGCAGCTGATATACAATCAACTACGCTTAGGACTTCATATAAGACAGATCATAGCTATAAATTGAACTCATCGGTAGAAAGGCCACATTCAGCTTCTATGATGAGGAACTCAAGAATGGATACTCTGTCAGAGAGGTCATTCCACTCCACCGGGGTGCTGCCATTGATCTCAACGCAACAAGCAAGAAAAAGGTAGATTTTTTATTTCACCACCATAAGTGATATAGAATCAGGTAATCAAAATATTGTTGTCATTTATGCCACTTTTGGAATTAATACGTTAATCAATGAAGATTCATTTTATCCTTAAAGATTCATTAACCTGCTCATTAACTTAACTTTAAAAAATATCTTTTCTCATATTGTGAGAAATCGTCTTGTTAATCTTTTAAAAGTTAAAAAGTTTACAGTACATGTACTAAAATAACTTTTGTCATAATTGGTTCTGATTATATTTAAGCAACTACCTGATGAGAAGTGTCCCCTATTCTCAACTGAGTAGATTCTGAAGTTCTAATAATTGCACATTGTCATGATTATATCCAGCAACTACTTAATGGGAAGTATGAACAGTAGCAGTTCTCTCATTGGCACAGAGGAACTTGAGAGATATTTCCCAGATAGAAAACTCAGAGTTCTTGTTCTATAGTTCTAATAATTGCATATTGTTATGATTATATTCAGCAACTACTTCATGGGAAGTATGAACAGTAGCAGTTCTCTCATTGGCACAGAGGAACTTGAGAGATATTTCCCAGATAGAACACTCAAGAGTTCTTGTTCTATAGTTCTAATAATTGCATATTGTCATGATTATATCCAGCATCTACCTGATGGGAAGTGCCCCCTATTCTCAAACGAGTAGATTCTATAGTTCTAATAATTGCATATTGTCATGATTATATCCAGCAACTACTTAATGGGAAGTATGAACAGCAGCAGTTCTCTCTTTGGCACAGAGGAACTTGAGAGATATTTCCCTGATAGAAAACTGAGCGTTCTTGTTCTATAATTCTAATAATTGCATATTGTCATGATTATATCCAGCATCTACCTGATGGGAAGTGCCCCCTATTCTCAAACGAGTAGATTCTATAGTTCTAATAATTGCATATTGTCATGATTATATCCAGCATCTACCTGATGGGAAGTGCCCCCTATTCTCAAACGAGTAGATTCTATAGTTCTAATAATTGCATATTGTTATGATTATATCCAGCAACTACTTAATGGGAAGTATGAACAGTAGCAGTTCTCTCCTTGGCACAGAAGAACTTGAGAGATATTTCCCAGATAGAAAACTCAGAGTTCTTGTTCTATAGTTCTAATAATTGCATATTGTTATGATTATATTCAGTAACTACCTGATGGGAAGTATGAACAGTAGCAGATCTCTCCTTGGTACAGCAGAACTTGAGAGATATTTTCCAGATAGAAAACTCAGAGTTCTTGTTCTATAGTTCTAATAATTGCATATTGTCATGATTATATCCAGCAACTACTTAATGGGAAGTATGAACAGTAGCAGTTCTCTCCTTGGCACAGAGGAACTTGAGAGATATTTCCCAGATAGAAAACTGAGAGTTTTTGTTCTATAGTTCTAATAATTGCATATTTTCATGATTATATTCAGCAACTACTTAATCAGCAGGAGATCCAAGCCGCAAATGTGCTTCGGTTAGGCCGATTTCTACTTCCGCCGGGACGTCATAAAGTCCGATATTTCGATTTCGTCGGTAGAGCCCCAAATCACCCAGCCATTTTTGATTGTTCCTAACTTTGTGAATTTTTGATGAAATTGAATTCTGTTTTCAGTTTTGAGTTATATAAGTCTAGAACTTAGTTCATTAGAGTGTATATGACTCAAAGCTCGTGAAAATGCAGCTGAAATGCTTTCGAAACAATTCGAATTTTTTTCAAGCGATTTTTTAAGAAATTAAAACTTTTTCGAAAAAACTGGCAGAAAACCATCTCCCCCTGCTCTGAGATTCAAAGTGGTATTTAAATGATACAAGACGATATGGGAAACATTTTTATCGACTTACATTTTGTGAAGAATACGTGCAACTCGCTGAAAATTACTTTCAAACCTAGATCATTATTTTCGATTTTTTTGTTTCACTATTGAAGAGCGATCGTCAGTTTCCGGTTCCGCCGTGCGTTTCAAACTTTTTGCTTTTGAACATATAGACCTTTTTAGGTTGAATATAATGGTACTCATGCAGATTTACTATGTTGTATATGTATGCTGTATATCTGACTACCCATGGACCTCATAATGAGTAAGTACAAACGCTTAATTGAGCCTAGGATCGACGAAACATGTCAGTTAATTGACCTAGATTTTTCAAAATGGATGCCATATTTTCGATTCCAAATCGGTAAAAACTATGTTTTGATATCTACAATAACATATTTTCAGGGTAATAAATTGAGCGATTACAATACACCTGGAATTCTAACGACATATTGTGGACATCAGAAGGTACAAATCGTTTAGAATTGCAGCATTAACACATTGAACAGGTTGGTTATTTCCTTATTTCATGGGTTCCAAGCTTCAAAATGTTGATACATTCTCTCTGACTGCAATTTTGAACCAGGGTAAACGGTTTTAGAATCTGTCTTTATATTCTCAAGTCAATTTATAATTTTTGACTCAAATTGCTGTAGATATTGACTCTACCTTTACTTGAGATACTGTTCTAGCTTCTAATCATTTTCTATTATCATAACGAGACCCTGTATCTGTTGCAAGACTAACGCCTGGCGTAACCGTCACCATGTTATTCAGTGTTTTTAAGTAGCGCAAGGATCCTGCCATGACCGCGGTAATGTTATCATGAAAGCTTGGTATAACCGCGACAATGCTGTATTATATTGCAATGCCTGCCATGACCGTGACAATGTAATATAGTTCTGCAAGGCCTGGCATGACCGTGACAATGTTATATAGTTCTGCAAGGCCTGGCATGACCGTGGCAATGTAATATAGTATTGCAAGTTCAGGTATGAGAGTGATAATGTATAAATTTACGATAAGGACTGCTATAACCGTGACAATGTGTATTGCAAAGCCTGGCATGATCGCCACCAGGGGGCTGATTCGGGGGAAATAACATGGCAGGGTATTACAAAATTCCCTTAAACCTGAATATTGATAAGTTTTAGTGGTTCACTTTTCATATTATCCTCATGTATGTGATAGTTATACAAATTAAAATATGTCCAGTAAAAGAAAATATTATCTGCCCAACACAAGAAAATATATTTCACTTTTTGTGGTTTTACAACATGGGGTCTATGGGGAATATCCCGACCTAGAAGTCACATTTTCAAAGAAAATTGAATTTTCAAAGTTGATAAACTCTTTTCAAAACCACATTTCTAGATATAATTTTACATGTCGATTCCAAATATGACATCCGTTTGAATGAATTGTGAATTGTGAATTTCTAATGATGTAAATCAAGATTATTTCTACTCGCATCTAGGATATTTAATATGACTCAAATTATGATCAAATTAATCACTTTTGGATACATGTACTGTATGAAGTAAAATGAAAATATCTTCAGCTTTGACTCCCATTTTGAATAAGCCATCAATATTGTTAATATCCTATGTGTTCATTTTCTAAATGTATTATAGTTGTTTCATTTTTGTAGGATCACGTGCTTCTAATGTGGAGTGAGGATGCCTCAAATATGAGCAGCTGGCTTTGAACTCTTATGCAACTGGCTCTTACAGACATCTCTCTGAAATGTTTACAAAACCACACGACAGGAAGTTCTTATCAGTGTAAGTCAGCTTCTCATATGGTTCATAATATGTTCTACCTGCTGTCAAGGTTGGAATTGTCATTTTGGAGATTTAACCCTGGAAGGCCTAAGGGAGGTACATGTACAAAAAGCTCCTGGAGTTTCGTTTTTTCTTCGAAACATTTTGTCGGTTTTGGGTAGTGTCTTCAAATAGCTGGGGCTACAGGTACATCAAATGTATTCTTAAAAAATTAGTACCGTGGGTACTGGGCTCACATGGTGACAGAATAATTTTTTGCTGATTTTTTGTTACAAAATTATTTCAAGCCATCTGTCTCTCAGTCAATTAAAATGGCTGAAAAAACGGATATAATTTTTTGCCAATAATTTGAAACAAAATTATTTCATACAACTACTCTTTACAGTGACATGGCTTTTTGCAATGCAAGACACCTGAAATTATTTGTAAAGCTAGGAAATGGGCCAAAATTGAATTTCGCGAGACAAAAATGGCGACCATTTTGAAATCAGGCAAGCTTTTGAACCAGGAGTCATAGGGGAGTTTTCTGAATTCATATTGAACAGAAATAACTTAAAACAGGAATCCTATCGACAGAGGTTTTAAAACGTGCCACAGAAAGTGGATTTCGCGAGTCAGATAGACAAATCAATGTTAACTAAAATGGCTGAAAATAAAAAAATGGATACAATTTTTCGATGATTTTTTGTATCAAAATTATTTCATATATCTACCCTTTACATTGACATGGATTTTTACAATGTAGGACACCTGAAATTATTTGTAAAGCTAGGAAATGGGTCAAAAGTGAATTTCGCGAGACAAAAGTGACGACCATTTTGAAAATAGCCAAGCTTTTGAACCAAGAGTCATAGGAGAGTTTTTTGTATTGATGTTGAACAAAAATAACTTAAAATGGGAATCCTATCGACAGAGGGTTTAAGGCAAATGGTCCAAAAGTGAATTTTGCGAGACAGATGGACAAATCAATGTTAACTAAAATGGCTGAAAATAAATAAATGGATATAATTTTTCGCTGATTTTTCGTAGCAAAATTATTTCATAGCATCTACTCTTTACTTTGCAATGGATTTCTACAATGTAGGACACTTGAAATTATTTGTAAAGCTAGGAAATGGGTCAAAAGTGAATTTTGCGAGACAAAAATGGCGGCCATTTTGAAAATAGCCAAGCTTTTGAACCAGGAGTCATAGGGGAGTTTTCTGAATTCATGTTGAACAGAAATAACTTAAAACAGGAATTCTATCGACAGAGGTTTTAAAACGTGCCACTGTTATTGACAGAAAGTGGATTTCGCGAGTCAGACAGACAAATCAATGTTAACTAAAATGGCTGAAAAAAATGGATACAATTTTTCGCTGATTTTTTGTAACAAAATTATTTCATATATC